TGCTGAGGGCATCAACTACCCATTAGCTTTTCCTGGATGATACTGCAGCATGAAATCATAATCTTCCGCATGTTCCATCCATCTCCTCTGCCTAAGGTTAAGATCTTTCTGAGTAAATAGGTACTTCAAACTCTAATGGTCAGAGAAGACCTGAAACTTTGCTCCATAGAGATAGCATTTCCATATCTTCAGAGCAAATATTACCGCTACTAGCTCCAAATCATGAGTGGGGTAGTTTCGTTCATGTGGCTTCAATTGGCGAGATGCATAGGCTATGATGTGCCCACCTTGCATCAAAACGCAGCCAACTCCACTCCTCGAGGCGTCAGAATATACCTCATATGGCTTCTCACTATCGGGTATAGTCAGGACTGATGCACTTGTTAGTCTTGCCTTTAATTCCTGAAAGGCATGTTCACACTCAGCGTCCCATTCGAATCTAACTTCCTTCTTGGTTAACCGAGTCATCGGTGCAGTAATGCTCGAGAAGTCTTTTACGAAGCGTCGATAATATCCTGCAAGTCTGAGGAACCTTCGAATCTCTGCTACATTCTTCAGCCTTTCCTACTATAATATAGTCTTAATCTTGGAAGGATCTATAGAAATTCCTTGTCCTGATATCACATGTCCAAGGAACTTCACTTCTGTCAGCAAGAAGTCGCACTTCTCTTTCTTCGCATACAACTGGTGTTCACGAAGAGTCTGAAGAACAATTTTCAAATGTTGCTCATGTTCTTCCCAAGTCTTCGAGTAAACCAGGATGTCATCGATGAAAACAATTATAAACTGATCTAAGTAAGGCCGGAAGACACGGGTCATTAAATTCATGAACGCGGGTGGGGCATTCTTCAGCCCAAAAGGCATTACCAGAAACTCAAAATGCCCATACCGAGTTCTAAAAGTAGTTTTCGGGATGTCTTCCTCCTTAATCTTAAGCTGGTGATATCTTGACCTCAAGTCAATCTTAGAGTAGTACCGTGATCCACCCAACTTATCGAATAACTTATCGATCCTCAACAGTGGGTATTTATTCTTCACAGTTACTCTATTCAATTTATGATATTCAATGCACAACCGGAGAGATCCACTGTGCTTCTTCAGAAATAATACAAGTGCACCCCACGGGGAAGTGTTATTCCTAATATACCCTTTTTTCGTTAAATCCCCGAGGTGTTTCTTTAATTCTTTCATTTCAGCAGGTGTCAGTCGGTAGGGAGGAATAGAAATAGGAGCCGTTCCCGGTATCAAATCAATGTTGAATTCAATCTCCTGATCTTGTGGTAACCTGGACAACTCATCAGGAAATACATCTGCAAACTCATCCAATACAGTAATTCTCGCATAGTCTCCAATTACCTCGGGTTCACCTTCTAGAGCAAGAAGGAAGGAAAAGCAAGCCAGGTTTCTCCATCTTCCAACGTTGTATCTCAACAGTCGTTCTTCCAGGACTGGATTCAAATCCGCTTGATAGGTCATTACCGCTCCAGAATTAGTCATTAGGGTCACTCTCCTACGGTAGCAATCAACAATCGCACCGTATCTTGCTAACCAATCCATTCCGAGTACCACGTCAAACAGACTCATCAGAAGGATTATCAGGTCAACTCTCAATCGCTCACCTCCAATTGTGATTTCACATTATCTACACACACTACTCACCTTCACACATCCCAGTGAGGAGTTCAAAATCATTGGGATTTCCAAGCTATCATATTTCAGTTTCAAAGTTTGAACAAAAGAGCTTGATATAAAAGAGTGGGTAGCACCAATATCAAACAATACATGTGCTAGAGAATGAGAGATCAAAATCATACCTTCAACCACCGTGTTGATGGCCTGTCCTCCAAAACTGCCTCTCGTTAGGCTATAAGCTTGTCCCTGCGCTTTTCCCTTTCCTTTATCACCAATATTAGGCCTCTGAGTCCCTGGCCTATATTATTGTGGCGGAGAAATCTGTTCTGGTCCCGACGCTTGGGGCCGAAACTGTAGATATTGAGGCAGATGGTAGGTTGGCACAACAGGGTATGGCATTGACATTGGCAGTTGTGGCTGGTAAGGTGACACAAACTGCGGTGGCCTCTATTGATCGTAAGAAGCATCACTCTGAGACTGCTGAGTCGGCGGTCGATTCCGATTAGGACAATTCCTCCTAATGTGACCAACTTGCCCACAATGATCGGGCCTGGGTCTATAAGGACCACTCCTATAATTTCCAGAGGAACTGCTACCACCACTAATCATTTCTCCGCTAATCTGTCTCTGATTATGGTTTTGATGCTTAATATTTTTGTATAATAAATTTCCGCAAGCGTACAGTGTCAAGTTTTGAGTATCAGGTGAGTGAGTATCGTCTCCACAGGGATTGGGTTTAGAATTGCCGTTAAGTACTGCGATTATTGTAGCTTAACTTTATCTAGGCAACCTAATAAGATGATGATTCAGAACCAAAACAAAATAAATATAAGAAAATAAAAATAAAGTGTCTATACACAAATGGTCTAGGGACTTGATTTCGCTTTATTATTCCTATGTTCATCCTATCATGTAATTGCTAATCAATTCTGTTCAATTCATTAATCAAGGCTCTAATGTCACCTCGCAACCTCTCTCGAGTGCCTCATAAGGAATTGTATTTAAATACCCAAAACAATATCCCTATTCGAAATGAATATTAAAACACAAATTAAGCTTCGCCTTTAGAATTAGAAAATAGAAATATTGATCGCCTCTCGGCCTCATAACGACCTAAATCCTAATTTGATTATCTAATCGTTGATCTCCTCTCGGTCTCACAACAACCTAGACTATGTTTCTCAAATCTAGATAAAGAACTCAATCTCTCTCAAGCATCAAATTCGTAATCTAAAAATCATCTAACTCATTGGCCAAATAAATTAGAAGCATTAAGCATAGAGAAATATAAATGAATTGAAAACGAAATTAAATTAACAATCAACAAAATATTCAAAACATAGTTCAAATAAAACTACATCAAGTCCTAGATTTAATGTCTAGCTCAACAAGGAAAAATAGAAGAAAGAAGATAAAACCCAATATCCATTGAAGAGCTTCCAAAGACCTCCAAGATGAAGGATTTCGGCCTCCTTTTGATGTTTTCTTCACTTTTTCGGGCTCCCTTTCTCAAATGGCATCTCTTTCCTTTTATATTACAACATTTCGGAGCTAGGGCTTCATACGCGTGCTGTAGCCTGCGTGAAAACGCGCTGCAGCGTGCATTTTTGGAAAAGGATCCCGCTGTTGCGGGCTGGGGCGCGCTGCCGCGCGCCTGGATGTGGGGCGCGTGCGGGCGCGCCCCTAGCTGTGGGTGCGGGCGCGCAGCTGGCTCAGGCACGGGCGCACGTCCCATTCTGACTTCACTTTCCTTTACGCGTTGTAGCCCACTTTCTTGCATTCCAAAGCCTCCTCTTTTGTGCCTTAAAATCCTCTTTCGCCTCCTCTTGGCATTGATTCACAAGTTGGGCAAATATTCTTCTTTTTTTCATGCAAAATCATCCAAGTTCGCATTTATTTATAATTCCTATAAAAGCAAACAAAAGACATTAAACTAACAAAAATGCTTGAAGACTTATAAATATTCATGCTTGAAAGTACTTGATTTGTTGGTAGAAATACCCGTCATCAAGTTTCTTCTACCACTCCGTTGTGGCCCGCCTGAAGCAGAAGGTCCACTTGAAACAAAAACTCGACCAGCTGCTTCCTTGCTTTGCTGATAAGCCAGATTATCCTGCTCCACGCTTGTAGCAGCAGCCACCAAGTCTCGAAAATTTCAGATCCTTAAAGCCACCAATGGTCTCCTTATAGAATTCTTAAGGCCTTTCTCAAATTTAAGGCATTTCAAATGCTCGTACTCCACTAGAGATGGCGCAAAGCGGGACAAGTCATTGAACTTTGCCTCATACTCCCTCACTAACATATCACCTTGTAGCAAGGACATAAACTCCATTGCTTTTTCATCCCCATAACTCTGAGGGAAGTATTGTTCATTAAAGAGGACTTCAAACTGCTCCTAGGTCATTCCCGCAACATCAACCCTTCTCCTCACCTGCTTCCACTAAGTACTTGCTTGGCCTTCCATCTTATACACTGTAAATTCCACCTAATACTCTTCCGGTATTCCCATGGTGTTCAGGTGTTTAACTATGGAGTCAAACCAGTACTCTGCTTCCTGGGGTCCTCCCTCACTATTGAATGTGGGGATAGGTCCACGTCTAAATTCACAAAAGTAACTCTGCTTCCTATCCTTGACCGTTCGCTCATTCTGAGCTTGAGTGGCCATCCCTTGGGAAGCAGCATACATGGCATCCATGAATTCTTGATTCTGTGGTGCCGGTTGGTTAACTGACCTACGACGCAGCGGCATCTCCTTTAACTGAAAAGAAACTAGACTGTTTAGTGAATTCCTGATGTCACACATGTATGTACAATCCTGTGGTTTCTAAACCTAAGGCTCTGATACCACTCTATCACGCCCTGAAGCCGGGGTCGGTGATGTGGAGGCTCGATTAGGAGGAATAATCAAAATCCAAAAGTAAAGTATTAAGTAAATTCCTAAACAAGCCTCCCTTTACATATGGCTAAAAATAAATTACAAGAAAGTCACGGGACCTGCCCCACTTTCTCAGTCGTTCAGGGCTGCACCCACAGGATGTGCAACATTGTACATACATGAATATGTAAATAACATTACAAACATCAACTACAGTATAGAATCCAAAGTCCAAAGTTACATAATTTACAATTCTTACATTTGTACACCAGGAGGATGAACACAATCCTCTCTTAACCGGATGGTAGCAGCTAACTTCGCTATTCCGCACTGCTCCTAGAGTCACATGGGAGGGGTTAGTATTTATAAAACAATAAAACGTGAGCAAAAGGCCCAGCAGGATATATTTTGAAATAACTTTATAAACAAACAAATAAATGAGTAAGC